GGCACATAGATAGATCTAGTGTTGAACTGGTGCCTTTTGGTAGTTTGGGATTTTTAAAAAAGTAATTTTTTGAGTTTCCATGGCAAAGACTTTGATTTAGACTGAAAATGGCGGTAGTCCTCGTTTCCGGAGCAGATCTTGAAAACCGTATCATATTTCTTCACCAAACTTGGCACATAGATAGATCTAGTGGTGAACTGGTGCCTTTTGATAGTTTGGGGATTTAAAAAAAAAATATTTTTCGAGTTTCCATGGCAACGACTTTGATTTAGACTGAAAATGGCGATAGGCCTCGTTCCCGGAGCAGATCTTGAAAAACGTACTATATTTCTTTACAAAAAGACCCAGTGAACATAGTTCACATGAGCTAATGCATTGCACACACCCGACATGTCATGTTGGCGGGGGAATGTGAGTATTTCATGCTTGTTGAGATAGATTTGCTTCACCAATCAGAAATATGCAAGCAGCTCCAACCCCATATCAAGGAACATTACATAACATTATATTGGTAATTGGTTAGTGAATTTAATTTTATGCTGCTTTGTTCAGTTCTCTCAGTCTGTGCCATAATGGTTTCAGTTTAATAGCCAGAATTTGGCTCTTAGCATCATTTTTATCCAAAGTTTAGTGTTGTCATATGGATTATTCATCATTTTTAGCACAATTTTAGTGTTGTCATATGGACTATTCATCATTTTTAGCACAATTTTAGTGTTGTCATATGGACTATTCATCGTTTTTAGCACAATTTTAGTGTTGTAATTTGGACTATTATTAGCTAAGCTTACTAAACAGAACAGAATTTTACTACACTTGGGCTAAGAACTAATGGTTTAAGTCAGACTGATATCCCAAGGTGTTGGTTTATGTCTGACAAAGTTAATGTCCGTTGGAGACATTTATTACTGTAACAAAGTCAGCAGGCACAGGTCTTGTATTGATGTAGTGCACCAAGTTAACGTGTTGAACAGGCCCCGATACCCTCGGTACAACACAGGGTAGGATCATACCTTTGTTGCTAACTGTCCTGATCAAAATATTTGTGTATAGAATATTGCTACGTGAGTATTAGCATGTACTAGTATGACATTAGTATAAAGCTAAGGTTGGTGTCCAAAGGTCATGGTTATATTTAGGAAACATCTTTGTGTGTTTAAAAAACTACAGTTATGTTTGTGAATAGCCCCAGCAATGTTAGAACTTAACACTAGCCTGGTTGCCCAGGGCTAGTACAAATTTCTGTTGGCTTGTACAAGTTTCCCTGTTTACTCATTGTTTTGACTTTACAAGGTCATTTTATCTTTACCCAGACAAGGAAAGCTTTTCAGTTGTTGTCAAGAGCCTATTGAGTAAGGCTTCGTGAAGCTTCAGTAAAAAATCCAGAGTTGGAATTAGCATTTGCCCGCTAGCCCAGACCTGTTTTGTTAATGTTAAAGGTATCCCAAGGGAAAGTAGAATTTAAAACATTTTGGGGAAAATTGTTATATGTTAATAGTTATCACTATGCAGGCTAGTAGATATTCTTGGTTAATTTCCATGCCTGGTAACCATGGTAACACGTGGAGGCTGCATCATAATGCACGATTCAGTCTTCCTCTTATCAGTACAGAAGTGTTTCAGATCCGTTCATGTTCTAGGACATGATTGTCTTACAGAATATCCTGATGAATTCTCCAAAATTGATAAAGATATAGTAGCATGTCTTATCAAAGTTGATTACATCTTGAAAATGTCTGCTTGTAATTTCTCCCCATCCAACTCAGATATTGAAGGGTTTTCAGCTCAATAAAGTTTGACGTACATGATTTTCTGCAGATGCCATATCCCTTCATCCATTACTCAGGTGTTACTTGTGTAATATCAGATTTTCTACATGTCACTACTGGGGGCTATGGATCGTCCTCTCAGATAAGACTTCCAATGTGCGCTGTAGTATTTACACCACACTCCTATATATCCTGTTGGCTACAAGTACTAAATATTTATACATCTATATACCAATCACTTTAAATATCATTTACCTCGAAATATTTGTGCTTTATTCTGTTGAATATTGATTTTGAAACTGCTGACAACCTCAAAGAGATTTATTTATCAAGCAATGATTAAGGCTTGTGGTGGTTGTAGAGCTCCGGGCATGTTAAGCTCCTGACAATGGAGATGCTGTTCATTTTTAACGTAAAGATGTGATTAGAGCTGATGTATTTTTTAAGTTGAACTTGTAAATCCACTTAAAATTGATTTTGTTGAATGGAAAACTTGCAGACGTGTAAATCCCACCCCAATCCAGCAGAGTTCAGAAAAGAAATGAAAAAGACTTAAGTGCTCTCTTAGATCATGATAGGTAATACTCGAATTGGAATATTGAACAGTCATAAATATCAACATGATTCCTCATGAAAATATACCAAGGGTAGTTATCTTTGAGACAAAGGTGAAATTACAGATTATGTGTGTTAATGCAGTGAAGCTATGTAGGTAGATATTTATTATCTGAAGTGGCAGAATCAGTCGAGTCCTACAGCTGCAGTGAAGCCCTGCACAAATAGCCGGCACCCTGGCCTGTTGGATCACCATCAACATTTTTACACACAGATTCTTTTTCAGATTGATTTAAATGAATCTATTTCTAATTGATGCTTCCTTTTTTTTTAATGTTTGTTTGTTGTGTTTTGTTTGTTGTTTAACGCCGCACTCAGCAATATTCCAGCTATATGACGGGTTTGTTGTGTAATGTTGCACTTAGCATGCTTAGCAGTATTCCAGCTATATGGCAGTAGCCTTTAAATAATTGGGTCTGGTCCAAACAATCCAGTGAATGACATCAACAACAAATCCTGATAATGATATACTGAAGGGCAGGACAGTCAAGACAGTAGATCATGTCATGTTTTGGCATTTACTATCCCTATAAAAGAACCGTTAAAACAAAAAAGGAGACTTGAAAAACTTCGAACCAGTTTACTTTTGGTCTGAACTATGCGGTGACTAAGAGACTTGTGGTAAAGAGGCTGAACAACCTGTATGGCGATGGCAGTATGACTGATGACCCATTTGATCTAGGCTCTCTCATCAGTACATATTCTAGGACATTGACTGATCGTCATCTAATATGTCCTAAAGATATTTATCAAATTTGGTGGATAAGTACAAGAATGTCCTATTAATTGATTAAATCATGAAAATGTCCTAATCATGCCATTTGTCTCATCGAAATGCCTGCTTCAGCTATCCTACTTTACTTATGTTTTAAGGTCTGGAGGTTACCATGATTGCCAAGATAGCTGGGAAATTTTATAAATATTGTGAGCGTAAAGTGAGATTGTTCTCACAACTACTAATGTTAACATTAGATAGTCTGTGTGTTATTCCGTGGAGGCTTGAAATTATGAAACAGTCTATTTTCTGTTAGTGAATGTGTTTCAGTATGTCACAGAGGTTTAGCCTTGATAAGATATGCATTTTACAGTGTCTGCTCTGGCTTAAATTGTCTTGGGGTCACTTGGACCCCTTCATCATGAGACTCATGAAGGAGAACCTATTTTGTCCTCAGACCCAGTTGTTACATGAGCCAGGAACCAAAATGATATGGATTCATATCATGTACTACCCAATGCCCATGTACAGAGTATAAATTTAGCCTGAAAGATTTGGTGTCCTTATAAGTTTGACCCTGATTTGAAACCCCCAAATATTAGGTTTCTGAATACAAATACTACAGCAGATAACCCCCCCCACCCCTCTGACATGACCCATAATGGGATGTACTCAGATCTATAAGGATGACAATAGGGTAAATAATTATAATAATTAATAGGGATAGCCCCTATTATCATTGTCGTCTGATCTTTGTTTAGCTATAGCTAGATCTAAGGTATGATTTTAATGAGACTGGATGTCCTTCTCCCAAGAAATTTGTCTGATTTTAGCAATGGCAAAGTTTGACTAAATGCTGTTCCAGTGATAACCAAATCAGTCTTTTTAACAATTCAAGCCTGCGCTCCAAACTCCATGCATGTGTCTGAACTCCTTTTAAAAAGTAATGAGAATGTTAAAATTTTGTACACTGATGTTACCACACAAATGGTTATTAAATATCACAAATGGCTCTTGTAAACCTTCAAGCAGGATCTGGTTACTGTATATCGCTGTGTATAAGGCGACCCCACGTATAAGACGACCCCCCTGTACACGCCTTCGAAATCAACCCAAAATCCTATACTCTGTGTATAAGACAGGCTTATGTTTGCGTCACATTCAGCGTGTTTATTCAACATTCACTTATACTCACCGTCTCCAACAGTTGTTAATACAACTGTAAAAACAACGGGAATTGATTTCAGCTATCACAGCTATTGGTTATCACATGTTAGGTCACGTGTGAAATATGCAAATGCTTATACCAGTACTTCCGGCTCTCTGCTCACGGATGTTGATCATTTTACCGTGTCAGCTGGCTTGACATTCTGGATCGAGGCGAGGGTCATATCGACTTTATTTGCAGAAAATATTCAACTTAATTCCAGGAAAACAGATACAAATCATGTTTATGTATGGAAATAGTTATTGGAACAGTTATTTAGGACGAAATGCGAAGTTTTATTGTCAAATGCTGGGCTGGCTATCGAACGCCGGTTGTCATTGCCAGTGGAAGCTGAAAGTGAAACACCTGGAAAAATTGTATGATCTTCGACTCCGTGAATAAGACGACCCCCCTTCTTAACCCCCTCATTCTAGGTACGAAAAACTCACCTTATACACAGCGATATATGGTTACTGCCATGTAAATGGTTAAATCACAGTAGATGAGACAATTAGTGGACATTACCCTGATGACAGTGTACTGTAAAATGAATGGGAGTGTCCACCAACATGGGAGAAGGAACCTGGATGTCTTTCTGTTTTTTTCTATGTCTTAAATTTTTCAATTGATTTTAACATCTCACAGTTTGTGATAACTGCACCTATGACACCTGAAGTATACTTTTGTCTTCCAGGAAAACAATACCAACTAGTTGCAGCTTTCCTCTTACTGCCAAACATGGGCAAGGGAGGCCAAGGAACACAGAATGGCATCTCCAAGGTGAAAGACTTCTCCATGGACGATGTGAAGCATCACGACAAGCGGGATGACAAGTGGCTGGTGATCCAGGGTGAGGTCTACAACATCACCGACTGGTCGAGGCGCCATCCAGGAGGCAGCAAGGTCATCGGCCACTACGCTGGTCAAGACGCAACTGTAAGTGTTCCGTGTACACAACAGTCAGGGACGCAGGGTGGTGACTGTAGGAATAGGGCAGTGGTGTAACGATACAGCGATACAGTATTGTATCGCAATACAAGGCCCACGATACAATACATTGACCCCTGTATCGCGATACATACGATACATTTATTGCAAGCTATTGGTGTAAAAACGTGAATAATAACAGAACGTGTTCAAGCAACAGCTTATGCAGATTGTCTAGTATTTCATGGTTGGACATAAATAGCACAAGATTCACAGTGCCGTCTACCATTATGTTTCCACCTACCATATCCCATCTTTGATCTCTGAAATCACATGCAAAATGAAAGAATATCAAGTTATCAGTGATAGAAACTAATGTTTTCAGTCTACTAGACAGACAGACAGACAGACAGACAGACAGACAGACAGGTTTATTTGCATTAAAGGCTACGTGACCTAAAGTACAAAACTTTTTACATCATAATTTGAGTTACCACATGAAAATTATACAAACTTAAATTAACAAAATTACTTATTAAGCGGAACCGTTCTTAAAAGATGTGTTAAGAACTTGGTAAATGGCAATAATACATTCATATCTGACGAAGTACATAGGCTTTTAAGTGAATGATACTACTTATTTGACAATTTAGGTAATAACAGTTTACACTTGTCTTCATAATGTTTACAGACATAAACAACATGAATTTCATCTTCAATTGCATTGCAATGTTCACACACAACATTATAATCGGTCAATGTTGACACACCCCTTCATAGATGCTGCACACCAAAAGAATTACAGCCAGTTCTAAACTTTGTTAATAGACATTTGTACTCCCAGGGCATTTGAAGAGGTAAATATTTTTCACAATCTAACAATGATTTCTGGGTCTTGTAAAAGGTGAATACATTTGAGTCTAAGGAGGCATGCCATGTTTTCGGTCTACTAGTCCTTATAAGGATAACATATAGCAAAGCCCTTAAAAATGGCAAATATCTACTAGTACTTATGATACCTTAACTATTGAGCAGTTTTGCAAGGACTACAGGACAAGTGCCAATTTCTAACGCTGCTTATGAATAAATACAGAAATAAAGTACTGTATTGGGATACGAATCGTATCTCACCCATAGTATCGGTATACGTATTGTATCCCGACCCCATCATGTCATTACAACTCTAGGAGAGGGGCAGGCCCATAGGAAGCTTTTGTGTTAGCATATATTTCACAGGTAACAGGCCTGATGGGTGATAGGTGCACTACCCAGGAGGCATCATCATCAACCGATTATAATGCTGGTCAAGAAAATAGGACTCAAGATGCCAAAATAGTTTTGCCCTGAGTGATAAGAGTGGTGACAGGGTGTAGGAGTAGGGCATAGTGGGTACACATTCCGGGAGGCAGCAACATCATCAACCACTACACTGGTAAAGATGCACTTTGTATTTGGCAAGTCACAGCAATAGGAATGTTACACTAAATTTCCAACAAGTACTGCAGATAGGAACTTGCATATTTTTTCACACAAAAAGAGTTAACTGTGAGCTCTCCACCAATATTCATTAATCAACAGCTTAATACTGCTCATTGACAACTTCGCTTGTCGTGTCCAGGATGCCTTTCGAGCATTCCACAATGATCTGAGCTTCGTGAAGAAATACCTCAAGCCAATCCATATCGGCAGTCTGAGGGAGGAGACCAAGGAGACGGAGGTGGAGCGTGACTTCCGCGAGCTCCGTGCCACTGCTGAGAAAATGGTGAGATCAGGCAGCTGAACTGTACATGTAAAAAATACATATCATTATCTCATGAAATGTACATTGTTTAGTCCTCAATGTGAAATTATGTTTAACAGCCTAAAAAATATTGTTCATAAGGCTAAAAATAATTAATAGTCACTGCCCACATCATTTAAAGGTCATTGCACGTTTCGTTTTTATTTCCATTTTCAAATTTTGTGTGTGCATTTTTTGTGCATTGACCATTGACATTTTATTAAAAAAATTAAAATGGAAATAAAAACAAAACGTGCTGCAAACTTTCTGATGATGCGGGTGGTGCCTGAGAACCAAGACTATTATTTTTTTAGCCTAACGTACATGGACCTGTTGATCTGAACCTATTATTATACAGCAATGCAGATCACATTGTTACAGATAATGAAGCTATATTTAAGGCAGTCCAACATTATATATGGACTACTGAAGGACTGGTGTAAAGAACTGTTCATTCAACAATCTTGTTCACTTCTTGTGAATAAAATATGTTCAAATGAAATCAGGGAGCTAAAAACAAATACATTGTCAATGTGATGGACTCATTTGGCTCTGGATATAAATTGGACAAATTACCTCTGGTCAGTGGGCAATAAGAAAATAGGGTACTGTCATGTATACAAAATATGAAAGAGAATGGATATTGGGCAATACAAACCACATGTATTGTGTAAACCTGATATTGGCGTAAGTATTTGTGAGGTAATTCTTTGATTGTTCTCCCACAGAACCTGTTCAAGCCCAACGCCCTGTTTTTTGTGCTTCACCTGGGGCACATCCTACTGTTAGAGTACATGGCTTATGCCGTGATGGCCTACTTTGGCACTGGTTGGATTCCCTACATCCTCTCACTTGTATTCTACGCGACTGTTCAGGTAGGCTGGGACATCAGAAATCAAGGGGTCATAGGTCAAGGATGCAGGGTCACAGGTAAAGGGTAACAGGTCATGTTCACAGGGTCACATTGGTGAATTGCAAAGGGTCACAGTGTCAAGGATGCAGGGTCACAGTCAAGAAAGCAAGGTCACAGTGGTCAAGAGTGAAGGGTCAAGGGCAAAGGGTCAAGGGCAAGACTCACTGACTTGGTTGACGCATGTCATTGTATCCCATTTACGTGGACCTATGCTCATGATGTCAATCAATAGATTTTCTGGACCGCCGTCATATAGCTGAAATATTGCTGAGTGCGGTGTTAAACAATAAACAAGCAAATCAAACTATCGGGGTTGATATTGAGTATTTGTTTCAGGGATAATCATGCAGTCATTTGCAGATCAACGCTTTTTTCTTAGCTTGATATTAACATAGTTCAAGTAAGAGATAATAATATACCAAGAGTATGCGAAGAGAATATTAATGAATACAACTTGACTTTTCTCTCTGTGCAAAATATGGTTTGGATTACACATTGGGTTTATTTGAAATAAAAGCATCACACTTACACAATTTATGAAAATGGTGATGGTATTTTGGTTATAGTGTTGTTCAATATATATTATTGCTAATGACATGTTCTTTTTCAGGTTGTCATTACAGTCATTATCAAAATAGTAAATACTGACTCTGTTTTATAAAAGAACATTATTCTCCATAATTTTCTCAATAGTATAACAGTTTTAGTACCTACTCTATGATTGATTAAGAATAATGTGTAGGATGACCTTTATTTGAAATTGTTTTTCTAAAATGCCTATTCCCCGTGCTTGTCATAAGAGTCGACTAGTGAGGATCGGTTGGCTAGAATGTGTGACCATGCTGAGGTGCACTGTTGCTCATGCTGTCAACCACTGGCTTTTCTGCTGCAGAATTGATTGTTTGCTGGCTGCCATGACAGAGCTGGAAATTGCTGACTATGGCATTAAAATCTTGACTCTCTGTAACATTCTGCATGATGATATGACATCTTTTTTGTAGGCTCAATCAGGGTGGCTGCAACATGACTTCGGTCACATTTCCGTCTTTAAAAATCGATACAAATTGGACCATCTAATGCACTTATTTACCATGGGCGTTACCAAGGTAACAATATAAGGTTAAGCTGAAATAGGATGGGTGTTGTTGGCAGAAGCGATATTCACTGTTTTCAGCCATTTTGAAATAAAGTTCTGAGTTTGCAAATTCTTAATTTAATTATGCCTCTGAAAAATTATAACTGAATCAGATTGGGTATTTATTGTCAAAAATTTAGAAAATGGACTTTTCAAAATGGCTGTCCTTGCAGATGTACGTTCTGACCTTCACCTCGTTCACCTCGTTGTTGCTGCATTGTCCATGGCTCTCGTTCCAGGCGCAGGTTGGGTGGTTACAACATGACTTTGGCCATTTATCAGTATTTCACAAATCCAAATGGGACCATTTACTCCACCACATTACTATTGGATTTATAAAGGTAAAAAATGCACATCACAGGCCAAAATCAGTCGAAGAGACATAGAAGTTTAATAATTCATACCTCTGCATAACACATACAGATACGTATACTCATCAACCAGTTAACCATGTACTGTTTTGTAGCTTCCTTAATCGACTAATCATGAAGGTTCCGCCTACTTTGATGATGATTTAATCAACGTAAATCAACATTATTCTAGATGTGACAAATAATTGTGAACTCCATATCGCATCCCGAACAGTTCAAAGCGTAAAACTATTCCTTTTTGTCAAAGTATATTTTCCAAAGATTGCATCTAGTCTTGTTGCTTGTTAACAAACATGTACTAATGGATTTGCTAGCTGGCAGTAGGTGGAGGTCTGTGTCATGCCTGAATCTTGATCAAGTGTAAATTGCATTGATTTCTGAAATGTGAAAATTGTTTTACAAATTCATCAAAACAAATTGATGTGCTTCATTTAGTGTTATGAAATATCCTACCATTGGTGTTTTCATCATGTTGATGGACTAAAAATCTGTCAATAATATTTTTCAAATACTTCTATTTTTAAATTACACCATTTATTAAATTTGTGATTTAATATAAAATATAATTTTTTCTGTTAGGAATAAGAAGTACCATTTTTTACTGGTACAGATTCATTTCACATTTCAGAAATGTACTTCATATCTCCCCCTATCAATCTAACACTTGCTTGCAGTTGATAGACTCTTACTAATCACTCTCACACCAACACACACAGTCTGCAGTGATTGCTGATACTATATCAGATCTGCCACTTCCTTTATTCCATTACATCTGTGATTCCATTACATCTGTGACTAGACCCGTGAAGATCCGGGGTAGAATAAGTCTTCAGCAACCCATGCTTGCCGTAAAAGGCGACTTACGGGATTGGGTGGTCAGGCTCGCTGACTTGGTTGATGCATGTCATCGATACCAATTGCGTGGACCGATGCTCATAATATCAATCACTGGATTGTCTGGTCCAGACTCGATTATTTACAGACCGCCGTCATATAGCTGGAATATTGCTGATTGCGGCGTTAAACAACAAACCAACCAACCAACCAACATCTGTGACTAACATGAATATTATTTGTTTTGTTTGTATTGTTTTAGTTCCTAGTTTTGGTTTATGTTTTTGTTCAGACCAGTCAGTTGTACAATGCTGTGTTTGATAACTCATTCCCTTAACCATCAAGTGTCAAGAAACATAATCACCTTATAATAGTAAATCCATTTCACCATTTGGCATCTATTTAACATTTGTAGGCATTTCCCGAGAGGCTATGCCTTTCTTTAATTCTTTCGGAGACATTCAAGACTAACATTGGTCGGGATTCAATACTGAATATATTTATATATCCCTTGGTACTCATCGCGTCAGTGATTGGTCAAAGCAAAATGGAATACACTTTGTATGACCATCGTCCAATGGTAGGCTGGATATTCTTTCCAAGGTACATGGAAGTCTGATCAGTTGAGTGAGTGAGTGAAGGTCTTCGTAGGGACAAGCAAATAAACATTGACCAGTAAGCTACGTCATCAACCAGATGTCTTAATGACTGATCCATGAAATAAATGCTTATTTTTCGTCCTAAAACATTTCAAAAGGGATAAGGAATGAATTAGGATTGTTGCCACAGTTTATGAATGTCCATGGTGTGCGTTATATCAGAGGTGGAATTTTAAGACTTTGGAAATATTTTCCTTTGATGGTTTATCGGAATGAGTTATAAACTTTTTTGTTGCAATGTCCTTTTTTATGTTTAGTTTGAGCTACACTTTTGAAACTTGCTGCTATTGTGGTACTGTCCCCAAGTTAACATACACGATAGTCAAACCTTTACAAGCAACCTTTGCTCTCACCACTTCTCACATCAACAAAACAGGCATGTATGGCCCAGTAGTCTAAGGTGCCGCAATGTGCTGTGCAGAGTTGCGTCCCTTGGGCACGCCTAGAACCCTATGATCATTGTTTAAAATCTCTGTTCGCCCCGATTACGTTCTATATTTTCACTAAAACTTTAACGTCAGAGTACTTCACGATTTCCTTCCACATAAAGCTGACACGCTGTGATATAACTGGAACACTCTTTAAAGCAACGTTAAACCCCAATCACTCTCACCCGCATCAACATAACACTTGTGCATGACATGCACGCACGCACGCATGCACGCACACATGCACACTGCACATTTAGGATTCATTGGACTGTGAACTGATTTTGCCTGCTGACTGTAACAAAACATGAATGTTTGCAAACATCAACTAATGTCAATGTTCTAATAACTGACAACACATTATGAAAGCTTTTACACAAAAAATTACAGAAATCATCCACTTTACTTCTTTTCAAAATAATGCATGAACATCAGATTAGTGTGTTCTATTGTCTCAGTTGCTCAGATTGGAAGAAAGTTGCATTGTCTGTGCATGCGTACAAAAACAAGCTTTTAGTGTTGGAAAATGTATCCTAATTTAGTCCATATATACCTCAAGTTGTTAGAAAGATATTGTCATTTACATCAACCACAATTTATCATGTGTATCATGAACAAATCATTGTAAATTTGTAATTTGAAAATTTGTTGATTCTAAATCTACCAGAGGTGCCCAACACCCAATCGTAGTAATCTTTAAAAGTTTGCAAACCGAAATTCAGCAGTGGAGTCCATTGATCCGCACAGCTATGTTTTAAATATGATTAATGAAGATCCTGTATTTCACAGACATTGCATTGAATTATTGCAGAATTCATAAAGGTCGTTTCCAGCTAAAAATATTTTACAAGGATAACTGCTAACAGAACTAAAAATTATGAAATTTGAACAAGTGAGCAAGTGAATATATGTATCAGGCAAATGGCAAACAATCTGCACCAGTCCTAGGTGAAGTATACTGACTGACCATTTCACTCTTGCATTGTTGAAGCACGAGTGGGTGGCAGAGTTAATCTGATCCACTGATTGTGGTTCCAAATCAAATGCTTCAAGGCGCTGTGAAACCAACTTACTCACTCAAACTGATAGAATAGATATACATGTATACTGCTCAAAAGAAGTTAAGGACCATCTGATTCTTTCATATTACTACAGGGGCGGTCGGGTAGCCTAGTGGTTAAAGCGTTCGCTCGTCACGCCGAAGACCCGGGTTCGACTCCCGACATGGGTACAATGTGTGAAGCCCATTTCTGGTGTCCCCCGTCGTGATATTGCTGGGATATTGCTAAAAGCGGCGTAAAACCAAACTCACTCACTCACTCACTCATATTACTACAGTTAATATGGGCATGTCAAATTAACTACAGTAATATGAAAGAATCTTCTTTTGAGTATCATAGCTGCATATCACTCACTCACTTAAAACACTGACAGGAATTCCAATATTAGGGTAGGAACGAATGATAGGTTATTAGTTATAACTAAGTAAAAGTCATTAATCTTCACCATTACTGATTCTAAACTTGTCACCTTGCACAAGACAATTTAACATCATATATTCTCTGCAAACCACACCCCAAACGACAGTCCTCGAGATCCAGATGCAGTGCCAGACATGCCCTTTGTGTCAAATCTCAGTCCCTGACTCCAGTCTGGTCGTGTTTACCAGCCAATCAGATCACTCCTTTCCTATGGCTATGGCTGGAAAGTTGCTTTGATTTCAGATCGACTGCTGAAGGGAAAGGACGTTTAAAGAATCAGTATTGTGGAATAGAACTCTGTTTTGGGTGATCAGTTGGACAAAATGGAGGCTGTGATTGACTAATACTTAAATGGGTGATCACCACAGATGAGAGGCTCTAAGCTGCAGCATTGTCATTGTACCTTGCCATGGGTTGTTGCCCGCTCTGCCCATCTTTGGTGTGTTCACCACTCGCCGCTTTCAGTCACCTGCAAGAAGACTTGTCCCCCTATCAATTATCTTGTAGGCAAATTCACGATGAACTAAACTGAACGTGCCTCTGACTTACATACTTGGGTCAAAGAAACCCTTCCCAATTACTGACTGTTTTCAGGCATGTTTTGTATCTGAAGTGTACACCTCCTCGATTGTCCAATGTATCATATCTCCATTCTGTTATCATAAATAAAACCCTGGAAGTATCCACCAAAATACCTTCATTTTGGAAGTGACGTCACCATCTCCATCACTGTAACTTCACTGAATTTCTCTCATGAGCTTGAAATCAGCAACCAATCAAAATGTGTTCAGCACAGATCTACATTCACAATCAGGCCTTGTCAAAGCGAAACCTCAACTAACCCAATAGCTGATGTTTTCATGGCGATATATTCCATACTCAAAAGCAGACTCTGATATATCTGAAATATCACCACCCTTATCGGCTTCGCTGATTGGATACTCACCAAATGAAGGCGGAGTTGGCTGATACAATGTCAGAATACAATGTTACAACAACATTATAATTGCATCTGTTGTAGAGATACTGTGTACAACAATATTGACACAAAAAGGTATCAACATTTTGAAATAATAAATTGCATTCCATGCCAGAAAGATTTAATGCAGATGTGCCCTTGTTACTCGGGCATGCTTGTCAGATAAAGCTGTTAATCACAGCCATCTCACAACTCTGGGGCTCTGCTCCCTCGTATTTA